ATAGCCTGATTTTTTTAAGCTGTTTCGATGCTGGGCCAAGGTCTAGTAAATTAGTATTCTCTTTTTGTGTGTGTTTGGCTTTTTTGCTTTTAGACATTGTCTTTCCGTGGAGCTTTGACGGAATTGAAATTCACTGTGTTTAAAGCCACTTGAAACTCGTGAGCTGTTTCGTTCTAACTCTTAGAGTTCCGCCAGCCTCTGCCTCAGGGAAGCTGGGATAAAAGGCATGTGCCACTTTGCCCAGTTAAGTATTTTCTTTATTGGATTTAGAGTGCCCCTTTCCAGTTGCAACGTTGCCTGAAGCTGTTCAATATGGAATAAGAAACATCAGTGGAGTGTATTTCCTCTGGTGAACCCAGTCCTACGCAGTAGGCCACAAATCTCAAAGGTAACATCTGAACCTGAACCACCACATCTCCCCAATCTGGTTTCTCTCCTTCTACTGAACCACTGTGAGGGTATCCTGCCATGCTTTTCAACGTGACTGCGCCCAGCTTACCAGCCCCGAGCCTTTTGTTGAACACCCAGACATCAATCAGTTCAGCAGGAGGCTTGTATTGCTCAAAGCAGAAAACCAAGCTCCATTGGGGAAGCACTGACACAACAGCCCAAGCTAAACTCTTCCTCTGATTCTTACATCCCCCCCTTCTTCAGTGATGATCCCTAAGCCTTGGGTGCGGAATTGTGCTGTAGACATAACAGTTTAGACTGGGATCCACAACTCTACCTTTTGGCTAACAGTTTTCTGAAATGGTCTTCATCAGTTGCAGCGTGAAGGTTCCTTGTTGAGGGGTGAGGACTGCACTTAGGTGTGTAAAGACAATATTAAGAGTGTAGTTAGGGGGTTGCCTGTTTAGCAAAGTGGTAATTGTAGGTTCTCCTCCAAGATCCATGGTATCACAAGCCATGATATTGTCTAGGTTTCTGTCACTAAGCATGATTTCTGTCATTCTGGTCATGGTTGTGGTTCATGGGCATTTTGGTTGTGTAGAACTTGTATGGTGAGTTATTTTTGGGCCAAAATTGTCTCAGGGTCTCTATCATCTTCATAAAGTTATTTTTAAGGTCATTTCCTTCTACCTCACCTGTATTGGGACGTTCAGGTCTTGGTGTGGTATAACCACTAGTTTCTGGTGCTGCCATATTGCTCTTGATGTTGTTGAGTGTATTTTTACACTGCTGTTTACCCATCTGGGTTTGGGATAATTATAAGTATGGGTGTTGATTCTTATGATGTCTTTGTTGGCTGGGTCTTTTGTTCCTTTATTGTCTTTTGGCCTGAATAACCAAGGCTATGGTAACTGGCTGGTTGTCAGGTCAAGGAGAGTTTTCTCAGCTGAGGTTTGTGGGGGTTTGGGTGCCTAGAGCCAGCATATCATCCATTTCTTCTGGCTGGTGTGCACTTTACTCCTGCCTGTGGGATCTGTTCCTCCAGCTGTTCCGGGCTGTGCCTGTTCCGGGCTGTGCCTGTTCCTGCAGCTGGTGTACACTTTACTCCTGCCTGTGGGATCTGTTCCTCCAGCTGGTGAGGTTGTGCCTGTTCCTCCAGCTGGTGTGGGCTGTGCCTGTTCCGGGCTGTGCCTGTTCCTGCAGCTGGTGTACACTTTACTCCTGCTTGTGGGATCTGTTCCTCCAGCTGGTGAGGTTGTGCCTGTTCCTCCAGCTGGTGTGGGCTGTGCCTGTTCCGGGCTGTGCCTGTTCCTGCAGCTGGTGTACACTTTACTCCTGCCTGTGGGACCTGTTCCTCCAGCTGGTGTGGGTTGTGCCTACAGAGCCTGCTGATGTTGCTGGAGAGAGCTCTGCTAATTGGTAGAGGTGGTGCTTGTGCCTTTAGGGGCGGCTGATCTTGCAGGGGATGGTTGGTGAGGGTGGAGGTTGATGGGTTCCGTGGCAGTGGCAGCGGAGTGGCCTGCCTGCAGGACTCTTACCTGCTGGCTGACTGTCCTTCTCTGTGGCTTTTAGCCACACTGCTTTACCTCAGAACATCCACACAGCTGTTCTGCTGCAACCAGCTTTACACTTCACTTTAGTAGAAATACGATGCTTTTTCTTTCCAACTTAGCCACTGCATGGTGTTTTCTTCGCTCGTGCGACTGTAATCTAAAGATGATGCTGAGTGCTTGCTAAAGTTCCACAGTCTTGTGCTCTGCTCTCTTTCCTTCTCTCCTTTAGAACCCTAACCCTAACCAACCCCGGAGCCTGAGCCTAATGTCCTTATGCGGCGCTACAGTCATACCGTGCTGTGCTCCGCTCTCCTGGGAATGCTCACCCCCTCTCCCACAGCGCTTGGCTGTGCGGTGTATTGGTGTACACCATTCTCGCTCTTGTCCTTGTTTGCAGTGTATTCTTCACACATCTGTTTTACCTAGGAACGTACACACAGCTGTTCTGATTAAAGCAGCTTCAGAGCTGTAGGAGTAGAACCAGCCACTTCATGGTAAACAGGATTCACTTCCCTCCAGTAAATGCACACAGCAGATTTTGCAAATATGCCACTGTGCAGAGCTTTGATTTTGTTTTTCTACATGGGCACGTGTTTTCTAAAGATGACACTGGGACTGTCAAATGTACAGATATTTGTGCTTGGCTCTCCCATTCCTTTCTTGTCCTTAACCCTAACAGTAACCCTGGCCCTAACCCTGTGCAGTGCTAAAATTAAGAACACGTGTTCTACATTATTGGGAATTACCAATTCTCTCACAGTGCTTGGCTGTGAGGTACACTGGTATAACACAGTTCTTGATCTTGTGAAAGTGCTGCGTTTTCACTGAGATTTCAATGTGGGACATTGCAGTTCTCCTAGGTAATAGGATTCGCTTTCCACTGCAGTGGAAATACAATGGTATTTGCTAAGACGCCAGCCACTAGGTGGTGTTTCAGTCACTTGTGCCTATGTTTTATAGACATGGCAGTGAGTGGTTCTAAAATTGTAGTCTTATGCTCTGCTTTATTTTCCTTTCTTGTTCTTAACTCTAGCCCTAAGTATAATCCTAAGACTAACACAACAAGATGTCCTTGTGAAGTAAATTCATTTATAAAATAAATTTATGGGCTCTGCTTTCATGCAAAACAAGTTCCTGCTGCTTCTGCAGTTCTTTGTCTGGGAGGTGCACTGGTGTAACAGAGTTCTTGCTATTGAGTGAGTGTTGCTGTTTTCATTGTGTTTGTAACAACCTGCTTTACCAAGTAACGTATGTGCAGCTATTCTGGTCCAAGAAACTTCAGAGCTCTATGCGCAAACCCATCACTGCTACATTGTTAACAGGACTCACTTTTTCTGCAGTACAAGTACAAAGACTTTTACAAATACCCCTTTCGTTTTGTTTTCACTAAGGTGTGTGTTTTCTAAGGTTGACACTGTGTGCTGTTAAACTTGCAGATTTTTATGCTGGAATCTAATGTTCCTTTCTTGTTCTTAATCCTAAACCTAACCCAAACTGTGTCCTTAAACCTAACCCTGACCCCGACACACCACAGTCACACTGAAAAGCAGTACTTCTCAGATTGGAAAGCACATTTTAAACTAAGTTTAACTTTCATCAGTGGCACACATCTGTAACCACAGCACTCAAGGGGCTGAGGCAGGGGGATGTCATGAGCTCTAGGCCATCCCACATTATCACAGCAAACAAAAGCAATAATCTAAACATACACACTTGGGTTTAGAAAGCACTATAACCTTTTTTTTCTCTTCTAGAATTCTACTTACCCTTCTCCTCTCCTTGAAGACTATGGTAGTTTAGATGTCACTGGCCCCCATAATCTCACTGGGAGTGGCACTATTAGGAGGTGTGGCTTTGTTGAAGTTCATATGGCCTTGTTGGAGGAAGTGGTCACTTGGAGCAGGTTTTGAGGTCTCCTATGCTCAGGTTACCAACCAGTGTCTCAGTTCAGGTTCCTCTTGCTGGGAAGATGTAGGGCTCTCAGCTATAGACCCTAGTATGTAGTAAGAGTAAGAGGCACGCTCCTATCATAAGGCTTCCTATGTGGCAGCAGGGTCCTATATCAAAACTTCTAGTACAAATCTTAGTTACCATACAGACAGCAGGGGAAAAGTAGCAGAAACTGCCAAGGGTCTCACTAAAGATAAATCAGGCATCCAGGCTTAGAGACAGCTTGGGCTGTCCTCTGGGCTCAAGGACACTCTTCAGGTGACAGCAGGTAGAGAACAGGAAGTCTGGGGGGGCGGGGGAAGCTGCCAGGCTATGATAGGCTGTGACTTCTGACCAGCAAGGCCTGCCTTCCAACAGGGTTTGGTTCTCAGCACCCATGGTGACTACCAACCATCCACAACTCCAGTTCTGGATATCTGACACCCTCTTCTGGCCTCCACAGGCACCAGGCACACACGTGGTGCACACACACATACATGCAAGCAAAACATGCACATAAAATAAAACCTAAAATATTAAAAAAAACAATTAAAGCCTTAACACATTATCTGAATGCATTATATTTTTAAAGCACAATAGGGAAAACAAACAATGGGTGTGGTCCACATCCTCAGGAAGCTGACCACAAAACAATGGGTGTGGTCCACATCCTCAGGAAGCTGACCACAAAACAATGGGTGTGGTCCACATCCTCAGGAAGCTGACCACAAAACAATGGGTGTGGTCCACATCCTCAGGAAGCTGACCACAAAACAATGGGTGTGGTCCACATCCTCAGGAAGCTGACCACAAAACAATGGGTGTGGTCCACATCCTCAGGAAGCTGACCAAAGCCAGGCGTCATCCTCAGGAAGTTGACCAGAACCAGGCGCAGAACACACGTTGGACTTGCTACCTAGCATCAAGTTCAGTGTTCTTTGCTGATCACTGGGAGCACAATTCTGCTGCAGTTGGGTTGAAAGCATCTGATAAAGTTCTGAGTTAATGAAAGGGGACGAATAAAAACTTGGTAGAATCATTTATTAGCTGGAGTTAACGATGTCACTAAAATGACAACCATATTTCCTCCGTTCTCCTGTTCCTAAGAAAACACAGAACAGAAACTCAGCTGTGGGAAGCAGAGGAATTACAAACAGGAATGCAGAATCTGAAGACAGTGGGAGGGCAAAGGTCAGCCACAGCTGACCTCCACCTTGCTAATCAAGGCGAGCTGCTCGGGTGGTGGTGGCCCAGGCTGTAATCCCAGCTCTTGGGAGGCAGAGGCAGGTGGATCTCAGTGAGTTCGAGCCAACCTGGGATACAGAGCGAGTTCCAAGACAGCCAGGACTGTTACACAGAGAAATCCTGTTTTGAAAAACAAAACAAAAATAGAAAAAAACAAAACAAAAATAAAAAACACCAACAACACAAAGATACACTTATTTATGGATGTATGTTGGTAACTGAGGTTCCTGTATCCAGTTTGGGAATTCAGTATGTTTATCTGGGAATGGTGGAAGACACCCATAATTCCAGCACTATGCCTGAAGCAGAAGACCACTGTGGGTTCAAGACTCACTTGGGCAACACAGTGAGATGCTATCTCACCAGAAAAACAAACAAACAAACAGCACAATAGTTTTATGAGATGTGGTTAAGCTATTGTTGTTCCTAATTTTCAATTCTCGTGTCCTTCCATTTAAAGTATTTCTTAGTTGTATTTGTCCGTGCGTTCATGTACAGGTATGTGTGTGTGTTTATGTATGTATTTATGGGTTGTGCATGTGTGTGCCTGTGGAGGTCAGAGGTCAACCTTGGGTATTGTTTTGGAGACAGAGTCTCTCACTGGACTCTGGGCAAGCCTCAGGGTTCCTTCTGTGTCTGTAAACCATCATGCCAGGGTTTACATGAGTCCTAGGGAGTGAACTCGCTTGCTTGTCAATGGCGAGTACTTTACTTTCCATGGGATACATTGCCCTCGTCGGTCCTCCATGGGCACTGCGGTGCACAGACACACTTAGGAAAACCCTCAGACACATAAAATATAAATAAAATCCCCCCAAAATTTAATTCTCAGGCTTGCACACAGCCTAGATTGTTGATCTTTACTTTGACAAAGGTAATTTTGACAAAATTCTTTAAGATACATGCTACTCTACTTTCTCAGACAAAAAGATTGAAATTGACTTGCTTTATAGCTCAGGCTGGCATTGAACTCATGATTCTCCTGCCACTCTTCCCCAACATGCTGGGATTCCGAGCATGCACCACCGTGCCTGCTCTGTATAGTTAAAGTCATATCAATCTATAATTATGATTGCGTGTATATGCACCGTGTGTCGTCATGCATGTGGACATCAGAGGACAACTTAGTGTCTTCGATTCTCCCTTTCCACACTTACGTGGATCCCAAGGATTTCACCATGGTTACCAGACTTTCACACACACAGTCTTCTCACTGGCCTGACGCTACAGTTTATACAGAGATTTTCTAACTGATGGGTGGAGCTGAGAGCTTTGATAATTCTAGCAGACTGGGTCTCCTCGCCTCGTATTTGAGAATTGGTGAGGTTTCCTCTTTTCTAAGAGTTAGACAGGGTCTCTCTGTATTGCCCTGCCTGCCCTGAAACTGGCTTAGTAGATCAGGTTGTCCTTGAATCCACAGAGGTCAGCCTGCTTCTGTCTTCTGATTGCTGGGATTAAAGGCGTGCTCCAACAAGCCCCACAGTGGTGAGGTTTCCAACTGAGGAAATACCAAGGCTGCCTCTAGATCCTCTTCCCCAGCTCTCTCCTTAGCCCTCTCCTTCCCCAGGATGGGTTTTCCCTGCTTTCGCTAGTGATGACTGAAAGCCCAAGGGTAGCGTGTGGGGGTGGGGAGACAGCTTGGGAGGTAAAAGTGCAAGCATGTGGACCAGAGTTCGTGTCCTCAGAACCCATGTAAAGCTGGCACAGTAGGGTGAACTCTGCTTCTACAGCAAGATGCGAGGTGGAAATGGAGAATCCTGTAAGGTGGTGGGCTAGCCTGGGGTACGCAGAGCAGCAGCAAACAACAGAGAGACAAGGTGAGAACTGACACCTGAGATTGCTCTGATCTTCACATGTGTGCCTGGCACATGCGTGCACATGTATCACACACACACACACACGCAGACAAGAAAGAGTAGTGGCACTCTGTATGCAATGGTATTAATAACTTCAAGATCATAACACATTATTAAAATATTTTTTAAAAACTTACACTTCATCTCTGAATTTATCCAGAGTTATTATATGTCCGTCATCATGCAAAACTTCGTCTGCAGTGCACAGACCCAGGTTCTTTAGGGCTGCAAACGTGAGAAGAAGAAGAAAATGTAGAGCAGGGAAAGACTTTGAGCTGGAGAAAGTTACCGAGTGGCCTACTGGGTGTAGGTCCCACTGACCTTCTTTGTATTGCACAAAGGATATGCAGCCTCTGCCAGAAGAGTCCATCATCTCAAACATCGACACAATGTTAGAGTTTTCCATGAAGAAAGGAAACGCCATGCCCGTTACCTTGGCAATCTTCAGCCGTTCCAGAAGAGTGATTAAGTACTCTCTTGGTTTCTCTGCAAATACACAGTTGAGACTCGTTCATACATGAAATTGACGTGTGTCGCAAGTAGAAAGAGTCCAGGCACTCAGGGTGCAGGTCTCGCTTCCATGGAACTCACACCACAGCAGAGAACACATGCGCAGGGTGCGTGCTGCCTCAGAGGACTGAGTGTCACGGCCTGGAGGCCGCACCTGGGAAAGCTCCCCAATTGATCTGATTTGCAGACAGGGATGGAAACCAGGAAGATAGAGGGAGGGCATGGTGCTGGGAAGAAGCTGGGAAACCAGGAAGACAGGGAGGGTGTGGTGTGTGAAGAAGCTGGGAAACCAGCAAGACAGAAAGGGCGTGGAGCGTGAAGAAGCTGGCCAGCTTTGTGTGCTCTGGGTGAACAGGCTCTTCTACTGAACCGATTTTAAAAACAGAAAATCCAATTGATTGTCCAGAAATGGTGTGACAATCGCGGCAGAAGTAGGACATGAGGTGGAGTGATGGACAGTGTACCTCCTGGCAGGAGCTGGCCATGTGTACCCACCAGCAGGAGCTGGTCACAGTGTGTCCACCGGCTGGAGGCAGAGGTGAGTGCTTCTGCTCACCTCTCTCCCTTCTGTGTGTCCCAGGGAATGGATTCACCTGCCAGACAGACTTTCCCATCCCTGTTAACCTCATCAAGACAGCCACGCACAGACATGCTGGAGGCCCATCTCCCGCATGATTCTAGACTCCTTAAGCTGATAACCGGAAGTAACCACCATAAGGACTCTTTGTGCTTTTCATATTACAACAGTACTGTGGTCACAATACATTTCACACCTCCAAAAAAATGTTTTTAATATATTGACGTAGGTCGGAAGTATTTAAGTTTCCAGTTATCTACGAATGGGGTTCTGAATAGCATTTAAGGCTAGGTGTGATGGTGTTTATCTACAAAGCCAACACTGGGGAAGTGGAGGCAGAAGGATCAGGAGTTCAAGGCCAGTCTCAGCTACCTAGAAAGTTCTAGCACAGCCTGAGACATGAAACCTTGTCTTTAAAAACAAACCAGCCAAAGATGTGTGCTGGCTAGTTTATGTCAACCTGACACAAGCTAGAGTCTCCTGAGGGGAAGACCTCAACTGACAGGTCCTGGGATCTATAAGAAATCAGGCCGAGCAAGTCGTGAGGAGCAAGCCGGTAAGCAGCACCCCTCCACGCATAGCCGCATAGCCGTTATATCAGTCGCTGCCTCCAGGTTTCCGCTCTGCTGGAGTTCCTGTCCTGACTTCACTCAGTGATGAAGTTTTCCCTCCCTAAGTTGCTTTGGTGTTTCAGCCCAGTAACAGTAACGTCGACTAGGATAGACGCTTCAAGAACCACAACTATGTTTATTTTCTTATTTTAGAACTCTTAGTCCTCCTGCCTCTGTGTGGGTGTGGGGATACAGATGTTACTGTACGTGTGTCCTATGTGGGTGTGGGGATACAGATGTTACTGTGCGTGTGTCCCATGTGGGTGTGGGGATACAGATGTTACTGTGCATGTGCTCCGTGTGGGTGTGGGGATACAGATGTTACTGTGCGTGTGTTCCGTGTGGGTGTGTGGGGATACAGATGTTACTGTGCATGTGTTCCATGTGGGTGTGTGGGGATACAGATGTTACTGTGCGTGTGCTCCATGTGGGCGTGGGGATACAGATGTTACTGTGCGTGTGTTCCGTGTGGATGTAGGAAAACGGATGTTACTGTGCATGTGCTTTTATCTCTACTACAGATAATTCTGTCATTATGTCATTATCTGTATACACACACACATACACACACACACTTATACAAACAAACAATACACTTAGCAACCTGGGAACCCCCACCTGCATTGAGCTGCGTCTACGCCCTCTCTCCAGACAAAGGCAGTTGGGTCATTCTGACCTTTCAGTTCCATTGCAATCCTTGGTAACCCTTTTGTGGCCAGCTATGTCCTGAAACTAGGTGCAGTGGGCTTACCCATCGAGACTTGGGTGTGTAAACAGCCGGGCAAATGTGTCCTCAAAGTGAACTTGCAGAAAACCCATATTTTCCATCTTACAAATACTCACGATTACAAGTGTGTATGGTTAAAATTAGATGCACCATATAGGGAACACACAGTAAACAAAGGCTTACATAACAAGGTCTATCCTTCAAAACAGGCAGTGCAGGCAGCTGGCTCGTCACCTGTCACTGAGATGGACAGCCGGAATCTGATCCTGGGACTCCATAGTGGAAGAGAGAACATATTCCTCATGTTGTTCTCCAGCCCTCACACACATGCACACATGCACACATGCACGCACCGAATAAATGAATGAACACATATCACTTTAAATAAAGGAAGAGAAAATCAGAAAACCATGTCCGCTCTCGTTTATCCTTAGCAAACAACTTCCCCTCTTTTTGAAATGAAAAAAAAAAACCTTAGGAACTAACCAGTGGCTCTTGAGAGACTCTCACTCAGAGCCCAAGGCTCTCTTGTGGTCTAACTGGTCGGTTTGCTGCTGGATAAAATCCTTAGCTTCTTTCTGTTCTGTGTGATTCTTCAGTATTTTGAACAAGATGAACAATCTGGATACAGCAGTGTAAACTGAGACCCCGAGCAACATATGAGTCAGTAATGGGACACATTAGACCAGGAAGACTGAGAGCTAGGGCCAGTTATCAGAGATAAAAGTTACCTGCTGAGAGGGGATGCACATGGAGATATCCATACATATACAGACAGGGACAGACGTGGGAACTGTACATGGAGATATCCATATATATATACAGACAGGGACAGACGTGGGAACTGTACATGGGGAGATATCCATACATACACAGACAGGGACAGACGTGGGAACTGTACATGGAGATATCCATACATATACAGGCAGGGACAGACGTGGGAACTGTACATGGGAATATTCATACATATACAGACAGGGACAGACGTGGATGAACTGTACATGGGGAGATATCCATACATATACAGACAGGGACAGACGTGGGAACTGTACATGGAGATATCCATACATATACAGACAGGGACAGATGTGGAGGAACTGTACATGGGGATATTTATACATATACAGACAGGGACAGACGTGGGAACTGTACATGGAGATATCCATACATATACAGACAGGGACAGACGTGGAGGAACTGTACATGGAGATATGCATACATATACAGACAGGGACAGACGTGGGAACTGTACATGGGGATATCCATACATACACAGACAGGGACAGATGTGGAGGAACTGTACATGGGGATATCCATACATACACAGACAGGGACAGATGTGGAGGAACTGTACATGGGGGGATATCTGTGTATATGCAGACAGAGATATATGTGGAAGAATTAGCAACACACAGAAAACTGAACAAAATTAAAATTGTAAGCCAGGCAGTGGTGGTGGTGGTGCACATCTTTAATCCCAGCACTCGGGAGGCAGAGGCAGGCGGATATCTGTGAGTTCAAGACCAGCCTGGTCTACAAGAGCTAGTTCCAGGACAGGCTCCAAAGCCACAGAGATACCCTGTCCCAAAAAACCAAAAATAAAATAAAATAAAATTGTAGTATTGTTAACTTCAGAGAAAAAAAAAGGAAATGTAATCCAAGCATGGCACACACACACACGCACACACACACACGCACACACACACACACACGCACGCACACACGCACGCACACACACACGCACACACACACACACGCACGCACACACACACAGACACACACACACGCACACACACACACACGCACACACACACGCACGCACACACACACATCTTAGCTGTTCACATCTGTCTGAAAATTGCATTGACAGTTTGGAACATTGGCTGTACTAAGTTTGTGTTTTACATTTAATGGCAAGGATAGTTAGGTTAGTGGTTAAGGGCACTTGTCCCTGAAGAGGACCTGATTCAGGCACTAGCACCCATATGGTGGATCGTGTCTACAGGTAACTCCAGAATCTAACTTCCGACCTCCTCGGGCACCAGGCTCGCTGGCGATGCACAAAACCCCTATACATGTTTAAAATAAATACATTTTTTAAAATAAAATATTTCGAAAGACTTTTCTCAATCCCTAGGAGGTCATGCTAGTTTTCTTCTTTTCCAATTTAGGATGGTATTTCTGTTTCTTGGCACAGAATTAAATGGACATTTTGGAATTTTAGAGACTCATCGTCAATGCCGGCGGGCTCCAAGCACTGTGGGAGGAGGCAATGCCATTTTCAGCTCAACATAACTTTTTACCGTACACCACCAAAACTTCTGAAATAACCCAAATTTTGAAAAGATCTAATTTATAAAAATGCCAGGAAAACCTGGCTCCCCGGGAGGATCCTGGCAGCTCAGGCGATCAATTGTTTAGCCCCTTACTAAAGTAAAGATGCCTTAGAAATGAAAAGATCTGTTACTTGCCCTGCCGAGGTTAGTTGAACTGGAATTCATTAATACCCTACCCCACCCACTCCCTTTCTCCTGAGATCGGTACTATTATCTCCATTTTCCAATGGTGGAGACTGGCTCCCCGTCCTTTCCCAAGCGCTCATAACTAAGAGGTGGACTTGGGGCTAGGCGGTCCCGACTCTGCCGCCCTCCCTGCAGCACTGAGCAGGCACCGAGAGCCATTTATCACGTTTGACAGGGGAGTGGGGTGGGATCCCGAGTCAGTGAACAACTGCAGGGCTCCACTCGTCCCGAGGCAGGGGGTGGAGTGAGAGGGGAGGACAGGGTGTGGGGAGCGAAGCGGCGGACCCTTTGCCTGGGCAGAGGATGACAGAAAGCCTGTGGAGGCAAGACCCTTCCTTACTTGGTCGGTCAAAGAGGAGGAAGCTGGTGAGTTGGCTCAGCAGCTCCATTATCCGATGTTTTTCTAAATATTCCTTAGCCTGAAGCTCCGGGTCAACCGCGTAGTTCATGTTTCCGTCCTCAGCTGTTGCTAGGCAACCAGGCAGCGTCCTGGCGCTTCGACTCCGCCCCTATTCGCTTTCAGTCACGTGACGCGCCTAGCGGTCGTCACAACCACCACCACCACCACCTCCTCTTCCTCTTCCTTCTTCTCCCCCTTCTCTTCCTCCTCCTCCAGCCCTCTCTCCGGGTACCTCGCGCACACCCTCCCACCCTAGAACAACGTCCTTCCAGGGTCTTCCGTGGTGCAGAAGCGCAGGTGTGGCGGGCAGTCATCCAGGGCACATGCGCTTGTGGGACGAGTGTCAACCCTTTCATCGACCGAGGCTGGGCATAGTTGGTACCTGTCGCTGCACCTGGCTCTGTGCCTGTTTGTCGGAGGATGAGGCTTTAAATGATAAGAAGACCGGATTCACCGATAAAAAAAAGTCTGCAGTTCTGAGAGCCCTAAAAAGCATTTTCCTGAGGAGCGCCCTGCAGGGATGCTCTGGCTCCCGGCAGGAGGCCTCAGCTTAAGGATTCTGAACTTTTCCCACCTTTAACGCTTTTCAAGTGGGACTTTAATATATAGGTGTATAAATCCAACTACAGTTCTTTGAAGTCAGGTGTGGTGGTGCAGGCGTGTATACCCAAGCAGCTGGGGGTGGGGGTCGAAACCGACCTGGGATACACGACCCTGCCTCAGAAAACCAAAGCAAACTAACCAAAAACAAAAGGAAACACTTTACTGTGCATTAACAATGAAAGCAAATTTGTGTACTGATGCACATATGTGTGCTTGCTTATTTTTAGTTGAAGAATTAAATGTCAGCTGAATGCTCACTACCACACGACATGGAGCATCTTCACCGTTATTCAGAGTTGATGGTATTTCGATTTTATGATTGTCAAACCTGAGAATGCTGCTTCACAGAAATACATAATACAAAACAGCTGACATGTTTAGGGCCATTCCAGAGATGCTGGAAATTCTTTTTTCCCCCAAGTCAAAAACTCAATTAATGATTTTATTTTATTCTATAAAATTCAAGGCAGCAAATCAAACATTTCGGACTAGGATATAGCTCAGTGGTACAGCATGTCAAGATGCAAGGTTAGATCCTCAGCACCTCAATACCAACAGCAGCAACCAGAAACTAAACAAAACCAAAAGGCCCCATTTAAGAGGGCTGGGGGTGTAGACCAGTGACTGAACACTGGTCTAGCGAGAGCTGAGCTAGTGGGAGCTCACTGACTCTGGACTGACAGAGAACTGGAGAACCTGCATGGCACCAAACTAGGCCCTCTACATGTGGGTGACAGTTGTGTGGCTGGGGCAGTCTGTGTGGCCACTGGCAGTAGGAGCAGGATTTATTCCGAGTGATTGAACTGGCTTTTTGGAGCCTATTCTCTTTGGAGGGATACCTTGCTCAGCCTAGATATAAGGGAGGGCCTTGGTCCTGCCTCAAAGTGATGTGTCAGATTTGTTGACACCCCATGGGAAGCCTTATCCTCTCTGAGGAGTGGATGGGACTGGGATGGGGGAAGTGGGGGAGAGCAGGAGGAGGAAAGGGAGTGGGAATTGGGATTGGTATATAAAGTAAAAAAAAGTGTTTAAAAAAACGAAATGAATTAAATTAATAACGACAAAAAAAGCTCCGTTTTCTGTCCTCTGAAACCTAGATTATTGCAACATGGCCCTGCTGACTTCTTTCCTGGTTGCTATTTTCGGTTCCAACAAGTCTCTTCGGCTTTCTGCACAATGTCGTGAATCTAGACCAGGTATGAGTCTTCCTTCTCAAGCCTGTCTGGAAATCATGTTCCAGGGAAGTGTCCAGGCGCCACCTAGTGGACGGAGCTGTCACTGCTGTCTGCCGGGCCGGACCTGGCCTTCCAGGCTTCTGTAGTTAACCTCAGAGCACCTGGTAAAACTTTATATAAATGGGACCATAGAGTGTGTGTGTGTGTGGGGGGGGGTCTCTTTTCACTCGCCATACCCAGATATATTCAAAACTCATTACAGGTATCACCGGTTCCTTCTCTTTATGGCTGAGTAGGACCCGGCCGTGCAGATAAGTTCCATTCATCTGCTGATGGGAATGTGGGTTGTCTCACTTTGGGGGGTGTTACAAATAAAGCTGCTTACAGATCTTTGTGTGGGTATATCGCTTAGTATTTGAAGAGCAAACACTTAGGGATGAGACAAGAGGCAGCCTGCGGGGGGGGGGGGGCGGAGAGATGGCAGGAGAGTGGTTAAGAATCCAAGTTTGACTCCCAACACTCTGCCCTTTAACCCCATCTCCAGGGGATCTGATACTCCTGGGCTCCCCAGGTCCCTGTACTCACTGGCACACACGTGCACATACTTTAAAATAAAAAAAAATAACAATAAAGAAAACAAGGAGAGAGAGGGGGGAGGGGAGGGGGGGCTTAATCTGACAGTAGTAATTGCTTTCACGGGTTATTGAAGTGGATAGCCAGGACCAATCTGCACTTGTGAGCTGTGTGTGGGCGAGGTGAGGAGCGTACCGGCCCTCCTGGGTGTGGACCTGCAGGGTCTCCACCCGAACACACCCTGGGTCACGTGGGGAGGCTTCTGCAAACGTCCAGAAATCTGATGAAATGACCTTGGGGTCATGGATACAGAACTGCTCTAGGGAGCTCAGTTTGTTAACTGCTCTCTAGATGGTTCTAGAGCTAAGAGACCAACCATCCAGATTCTCTCAAGAACCTCTGTCCTGAACTGCAGAAAACGTCAGGCAAGCCGGAGCCTTGCTCCGCCTATTTGCGCGCCACTGGGCTATGACGTCAGGCTGACTGACAGGAGATCCTAGAGCTGCCAGTTATTGCTGTGTGTAGAGAGAGGAGCCATGTGAAACAGGAGTCAGGACAGAGTCGGTCAGAGTGGGCTGTGGGCCTCTTCTGGTTTTGTTTTAACCAGTAGCAAATCAGAGATGCCCCAGCTTGGAGTTTTGGTTATTAAAAGGGAACAGGTGTGGGCTGGAGAGACGGCGCAGCAATTAAGAGTACTTGCTACTTTTGCTGATGGTCTAGGTCTGTTTCCCACGACCATGGAGGCTCACGACCTTTTTAACTCCAGTTTCAGAAGATCCAGCGCCCTCTTCTGGCCTCTGTCGTTAACTGGCACACACAAAAGTGCACTTAAATGCGTGCAGGCAAATTGCTCATACACATAAAAAATAAATCCATCTTTTTAAACGTAGAAAGGGGTATTGGGGATGTGTCTCGGTGGCAGAGCACTTGCCTAGACGCCTGGGATAGATTTCCACCACAGAAGAAAAGGAGAGAAAAAGAGCTCACAACCGCCCTCCTATGCTCTCTCTGCCTCCCAGGTTCTGGGGTGATGAGGATGTGATCCCAAACCTGACACATTCAGTCAGTACCAGCTAAGGCAGAGCATTCACTATTAATATTACGTCTCCATGTCTTTATCTGGGAGCTGGTTGGCGCCCCAAAGGAAACACCAACTCCACCCAAGTCTCACCTTTTCAGAATTTTAAAGTGACCCCAAAAGGCAAATTAGGAGTTCCGTTACAATGGATTGCTCACGGTTTCTGGAAAAAGTCTCACAGTGTCAGTGAGATATATATGGTAATCTCTGCGATTTCACAATGCCACTGGAAAGCGTCCAAGAAAGATCACGTTTAAATCAATCCGACACACTCATGTGTGTTTGTGTGTGTGTGTTCATGTGGTTGCAATTGCTAATGTATGCACACGTAGCGGCTATCCTCCTTTTAAGTTATTACATTTATTTGTGAGCATGTATGTAGGTGCATGCCTCTAGACACAGGCGGAGGTCAGCTTCTACTGGTAGCCCCAGGTGCTGAACTCGGGTTTGGGCTGGGTAGCACGGGCCTTTATCTCATACACCACCTAATTAGGCCCCTATGCAGGCCTTCAAAGCTGAATCAGACACTGTACCCTGATAATCAGAGAGGTGAGATTAACGCCCCTCCCTCTCTGTACTGGAGACGGAACCATGGCCTTGGATGTGCCACACAGACATTCTATTGTTGAGTCACACGGCCAGTTCTAATGCCTTTAAATGTCATTACGATGCAGGCGTATGTATCTTATCCAAATCAGAGAGAATCCAAACAATACGGATTAGCTGTAATACACTCACGTTTGTTTATTTATTTCGGAGTTTGAAGACAGGGTCTCCGGTAGCTCAGGCTTGCATCAAACTTCTACGCAGCCAAAGGTGATCTTGATCTGATCTGCCTGCTTCTGCTTCCCAAGTGTTGGGAGTCCAGGTTTGCGTCCGCAGAATTCTACAGAAGAACTTCCGATGAGAAGAGACAGTTCTGTATCACCCCACATTTTACCTCCAGCCCAAGGTTTCTAAGCTAGGTAGTAAAACCCTCAGGGTCCCACTTCCCTTGTCCGGAATGGAACCCTCTAGTGTGCTGAGGGCCCTGGAAGGGGAAAGTGGGCAACCATTGGCAGCGAGTGGAGTGAGCGAGCGATGCTGGTGTTGGTGGGGTCACTGCAGGTTTAACCATCTCATAGGCGACCTTCAACCCTCCGTTCGAGTTTCAAAACAAGTGTTTCACAACCTCCTCTGTTGCACCTCCCAGCTCAGGGAAACCACAGGAGAACACAGGCATCTGGTCAGTGTTCCCCTCAAACCACACTATAACTTTATACTTTGTTAAGACAACAGTCACTCCAAAGCTGCTCTCTCTCTCTCTCTCTCTCTCTCTCTCTCTCTCTCTCTCTGTGTGTGTGTGTGTGTGTGTGTGTGTAAAATTTTAAATTTAAGAGTGCCCAGGAAAATAAAGATGCCTGAAGTCTATAACCTGATAAATATTTCACAGATGAATAGATCCATTTAACGAGCATTCAGGTCAAGCTCCAGAGCATCCCCCCGCTCTCCAGACATCTCCCCTGTGCGCCCCCAAAGGTAACAGCTATCATATGAATCAGTGTGTTTGTATTCACGGCCTTAATTCACCAAGGTTACTTTGAATGCCAATTCATTAATTAAAATGTTAAACAATACCGGGCTCAGCGTGGGCCTGC